CTTTCTATTTCTGGTGCCATGCATGTGATCAGTACGTAAACTTTCCATGCATGGCCTTACTGTTTCTATTAATTGGTTACATGCAATCTGAACAGAAAAAACAAACGCAAAAAGAAAAATACAAAGTTTCCTTATTACTAAAATGCCCATGGTAAATATTTGTGCGTGTAACACAAACCCAAGAAATCCAAAAACAAAAAACTTAGATTTCAAGCAACCATCCCAACTCTGATGAAAAACCGCACCCAATCCTTGAATTGAACAATAAATTGAATTAGATTGGATTTCTTTTGCAACCATTTTTAAATTCACGAGTGCATTCATATGTATTGAGATGTTTTAAAACTATCACATTTATTGGTGGATCTTTTTGTCATGAATTTGGGTTTGGCCAAAGTTGGGAAATAGAGAAGTGCAAGATGAAGGGAGTTTTATCTACATTTAGGAATATATCAAGGATGGAGTTAGAAGGGCTTAGGTGTGAATGAAGTTTCAGGCATTCAACTTTGCGTTCTTCCTTTTTTTTCCCCGTCTCATCTTCTGGTGATATTACTATTCTAATCCTTTCATTTCATCTAGATTTGGTAAATTTTTTGAGTATCTTGTTTACTTTATTTCCAGGAAAATAATTCTTTAAGTAGTCTTTCAAAAAATAAAAAGTGTTTCTAGGCGATGCTCTCAAGGATGGGGAAAGAGAATTCCATACAATCACACTATGAATTTGCTTTCTTTTTTTCTCTTTTTTGTTTTGGATTAAAAATTGCTCTTTTGTGATAGGAGGTTTTGTTGTCATTACATTTCATTTGTTAACTAGATTTATACACCATTAGTAGCAAGGGGATAAACATAATTTGGTCAAACCTAAGGGTTCAACTCATAGTTTGGCTAAACCTCAGGGGAGGTAAATGTAATTAACCCTACAAAAAAAATTAGTCCCACTCCTAAATGCTTCCATTAATCAACCAACCAACATACATAGCACTCATATTGATTAACCAAAATAAAAATAAACTAAATTAGATCTAATTACTAGATTACTAGATATTTCTGTTGAGTCTGCCTCATCTTTGCCATACTTGTCACAGACTCACATTCTACTCCCTCTACCTCGCAGATCCCGATCTGTCCATTAGATTTGTATGAACTTTCGCCAAAATTATTTTACCAAACCTAGTTTTTCTCTCAATTTTGTTCATATGTTTTTAGACTTAATCGCATCTTTTGTTCATTCTAATCCTTTTTATTGCAAACTATAGCCTGATGTTCCAAAGTATTTGGTTTGAAGAGATAAAATATGATGGCAACACCGTAGAAGACATACATTAGAATGGAAAACACAATTCTAGGGCTAAAATGGTAAAAAATATCATACAGGATGAATTGATTTCAGTGAAAAAGTTCATGGACTAAATTGGCAAATTTCCTTTTAATACATCATCACAACTACAGCTCGTGGTGTACAATGTCAGAAGACTGACTTTTTTGTGGTGTAAAAAAATTCTAATAGGAATGGTAGGATTTAAAAAGTAAGGAAGGGGTAAGGGGATGTTGGAGAGTGCAAAATGAAAATAGTCTATTCTTTTATTTTCAACTCAGCTTTCAAATTAAACACTAAAAAAGGAAGAGTTGGAGTTTTGCTCTCCAATTTATAATTCATGTGCAAAATTAGTCCCTAATCTATTTCGCAAAATAAATTTGGCCCTCAATCTATCCAATTTTGCGTGAGAGTAGGCAGTTGATGGATTTTCTTCAATTTTTGCCAGAAACAGGTCAAGTGAGATAATGTGTTGATACTCAAAACAACTTTTTCTATCTTTTATGTGAAAACTCTTAAAAAATGAAAAATGTGTTTTAAGTACAAACATATGATCACATGTGATCTATTTCTGACAAAAATTGAAAAAAATTTGCCACTTGTCCATTTTCACTCAAAAAACTGGATAGATTGGGGACCAAATTATTTTACAAAATAGATTGGGGACTACTACTACGCATGAATTATAGATTGGGGATCAAAACTCCAATTCTCCCCTAAAAAAAAAGTTTTGCATTAATTCAAATTCAAAATTATAGATTGGGGACTACTACTACGCATGAATTATAGATTGGGGATCAAAACTCCAATTCTCCCCTAAAACAAAAGTTTTGCATTAATTCAAAAGTATCCCCTCCAAAAATAGCTCTTCTTCACTTTGTCCTATAAGTGTTAAATTGGATCAATTTACCCATTATGTATTCTATTCTTCATATTGGAGGACAATCTATACAATAAGTCAAATTCCTTGAAATAAAAAGTTATCCTTTTGGGGTACATATGCTACTCTTCAAAAAACTATTGGAGTGTTTAGATCTGTAATTTTTTGAAATAATATTTGTATTTGCATCACAAATATATTTTTAATAATATTTTTATTTTCTCAACTATCTCTTTTATCTTACATACGTCACATTACAAAAAATGCTATAGTAATTATTCCAAATAATACTCAATCTAAACAATCCTTATATTATAGGAGACTAAGTCAAACTTGATTTTATTATTAAAATACCCCTAATTCTAACAAATGCATCTACATTCATGTGCTCTATGTATAACAAACAATATATAAAAAAAGCTAAAAAATGATTCTTTAATCTCTTCACTTATAGGTAGAATCTCCAATTTTTTTCAGAACCCCTAATTTTTTAAAATGTTCAAAACCATGTAAAAATATTAGGAATTTTTCTATAAGTAGAAGGTTATTGGTTTTTTTTTCTTTTTTTGTTCAAGGATATTTTGGGATTGCGTTTAAGTTGACCCTTTTTTTTGGAGGGAAATGATATTTACACCTCTCAATTAGCTTCTAACACTCCTCAAAGGTTAGTGCAAGATGTTAAATAAGGAGTGCGAATATCAATTTTATTTTTGGAGACAATTCAATCTTTTGACAGCCATTCGTGCATCTTACATGACAATCTAAATAAAATTCGGGCTTCATTGACTGTACCTAATTGGAAAAAAACTAGAATAGAGCGTGGAGCAAAATTGATAGCGAAACTTTCAAGGGGGCAAAGTGAAGAAAAGTCTTAGAACTAAGGGGTGGTTAATACCAAATGCCGAAACTGTTCAGTCTAAGGATTTCAACTAGATGTTTGTTCTCCCTTCCGTCGAAGAAGGCAATAAGGAACCTTGGGATGTTATCACATTTGGTTTCCATTCTTTGAACAGCAGCCAAGTAAGGCCTCACGCTAATTTCTCCCTTTTTCCTTTTCTTCCTTATTGATTTCATGTTCATGTACTATATCTATCTTCATACGGGCAATGTTTGTTATCAGTTATCTCTGTTCAGTTTTTGTTGTTATCTCTTCATTTATTTGTTCTGTTATAATTGTTTGATACGGGGTTCTTGTTCTTTTCCTTTAAGCAAAACAATCTGGTTTTCCAATGCAATTAAACAAATTGGAAAGTTAGCCGCAAAAGTATGCCATGAAGATGACTGGAGAATTCACTAAACAGTAAAATATTTTTTATGTGTTTATAATGATTTTTAGGAGTAAAATTTGCTGATATTTGAGTGATTATTTCCAAGTCTATGACTTTTGAAAGCGATTGTGGAGATTGAGTTGGGAACTTACATTATGGTCATGGATTTTCTTTTTGTATGTATGTGTATTGAAAGATTCAGCTTGAAGGGATCTTAAAATAACCCCTTTGAGTGTTAAAAACAAATTTATTGTTTTAAGGGCACGGGTTTGGGAAAATAAAATATGAAATTTCTGGATTGTTTTGTTTGGAGAATTTTAGTTCTTCCTTGCATGCAAAATTAGCATCTAGAATGTTGATTTAGGGATTTGAGAGAAGGCTTACTAAATTGGAAATGTTTGCTTAAGGGATATTTGTAGAGGATCAAGCTTCTTAGAGGTGGTCAAACTAGCTTGTTTTGGTCCCCTATGTCAGTAGTGCTTTTGTTTTAATGATATATGTAGTTTCTTCAGTTTTCTGATGTCTAGCTTTCAAGTGCATACAGAAAGAGATTAAACATAGAGGATTTAATTAGAATGTTTCTTGCCGTGCTTGAGTGTGGGAAGCAGAAATGGCACAAGGACTGCTGCACTTGCTACTTCTCTCTCTCTCTCTGTTTTTTTTTAAAAAATTAAGGAACATACAAATCTGAATTAGAGGTTTAGGTATAATTTGGAGTGGTATTAGCTTCCAAAATTTGCTATGCTTCCATTAGATGAATGTCTTTTTTTTTAAGAGTATGTAAATCTTTACATGGCTTACAATTTTGATGGCTTTGAATTCTGTTGGCCAAGACAATCGGGGTAGACAGGTCAAAGGAAGGGGGATGGATTCTCTGCATGCTGGCTAGCATACAGATTTTCATTTCGAGTACAAACCATTCACAGTTCGTGAAATTGGAAGGGATTTGACATGTAGAAAGCCTGGTGTGTTTGCATAATTTTCAGCAAAAGAGGTAGCTATCTGACACTTTAGCTGCTATTAGGCACTTTATTGGGGAAGGGAGTTCAATTCACACATTTTCTTTTAATGATGGACAACAGAGGAATCATTTTATCATTATGGCTTAGAGCAATACCATTATGGTCAAAGTAATGGAAATACTAGAATGCAAAAACTAGAATGCATCATATCAAGACATGTTTTTACTAGGTGAAGTTAATGGTGATTTTGAAGGATGGGAGCTCAGTGATCTAAATCAAAAAGTGGTGAAGAATAAAACCTGTAGCTTCTTAATCCTCATCTGAAGTAACTTAGAATGCTCAACTAGGCTGGTCTGATGCCACTACATTTCCTACTTGAAATAATTGTCAATCTTGATTAGGATGGTTTGGTCCTCATACATTCTTAATGAAATTCCTTCGAGTAGCTAGTCATTGGTGGACAGAGGATGAGAAGTTATGAAAATCATCAAGTGGTGCTTTAAAATTTGTGGATATATGTGTAAGTGAACCAAGAAACCAGAAAGTCATGTCAAATCTGAAAGCATGCAAAATAAAATACTTGATGTGTATTTTGGTGAAACTTGCAAAAACACATCTTTTAATGATAACAAAGAGGAGCGAAAAGGAAAATAAAATTATCTGTAAAAACTGAAGTACATTGATAACTTTTAATTGCATACTTGTAGACCTATTTCATGCTTTCTGAAAGGCTGACATTTGAAACTTAATACTTCAGGGCCTCATTTGATTAATAATTTCTGTTTTAACTTTCTTGATGCTTGTGGTCTCTGGCATGACATGTACGTATAAAGATTGACCTCCCTCCACCCAGTTGATCTAAGATTCCACTTCTTAAAATGTAGTTCTAAATGGAAGAGAAGGGAGCCGTTCAGAAGGGATGCATTTGACAAACCAACCAATTGGCCATGACAGTGCAGCAATTCCAATGCATGAAACCCATTGTACCCAGTTCAGCCTTTCTGTAGTGGCAAATCTCTTCAAGAACTCTACCATAACCACTTGAAGAGCTACTGTCATCCCTATGATGCTTAGAAACAGTTTGTTCTTTAGTACTCCCCTGAATACATTTTTCTTCTCAAGCTCTCTTGCGTTGAACTCATTAAAAACTTGACAGAGGACAAAACTATTGAAAATAATGGTGTGCTCAACCTTTTCGTTCACATGGAAGATAGAGCTTCCTTTGAATTCAAGGATCAGTATGATAGTTACCTGATATAAAGCCTGAGCAATGAGATTTCGCCACATGATTTTGGTTATAAGAGGTTCTCTGCGACCAACAGGTCTGCATTCCATTAGATCATTGTTTGGCTGTTCAGTTGCCAAGGCCAAGGCACCCAATGTATCCATGATCAGGTTCACCCAAAGAAGCTGGACTGCCGTGAGAGGAACTTCGCCGGCAGATACTGCAGCAATAAAATTGATGCATAGGGCTGTGATATTGACTGTGAGTTGAAACTGGATGAACTTTTGAATATTTCTGTATACGCATCTGCCCCACCTTAATACCATAACAACGGTATTGAAATTGTCATCCAGGATGACAACGTCTGAGCTTTCCTTGGCAACTTCTGTCCCCTGGATGCCCATTGAAAGGCCAACATCTGCTTCTTTCAAAGCAGGTGCATCATTTGTGCCATCACCAGTTACTGCTACCACATGACCTTTCTGCTTTAAACTCTGTACCATCAATAGCTTGTCAAAAGGAGATGATCTTGCCATAAGAAGGATCCGATCAATTTTTGCCATTCTTTCTTCAGGTGAATAATTTCTGAAAGTTATTCCTTCAACAGCTGTATCTTCCAAGTCCTCATTACCATTTAAAATTCCGCACTCTATGGCTATTGATTTTGCTGTAAACATGTTGTCTCCAGTGATTACTTTTATGTTCACTCCAGCTTTTCTGCACGATTTTACTGCTGCTTTAACCTCTGGCCTGCATGGATCCTTTAAACCCACCAACCCCAGTAATGTTAATTGAGTGTCTGGAAGATTCTCGCAAATGACACCATGTCCTGCAATGCTTTTGAAAGCAAAAGCAATGCAGCGAAGACTCTTACCTGCCATCTTTTCAATTATTATTTCAAGCTGTTTTCTCTCTTCATCATCTATGGCCTTAACTGTACCATTTTCCATGTAGTAGTTTGAACACCTGGCCAGAATCATTTCAGCTGCTCCTTTCCAATGCACACGAACTGTCTCCGAATGATTTTTCCTCACTAAAACCCCACTTCTTTTCTTCTCTGAATTGAAAACTTCAACATGGAGCTTTTCATACTCTTGCTTTGTTGTGTTGATATCCATTTTCATATCAAATACAGCCCAATTAAGGATGGCTGACTCTGTTGGGTTACCAGTAATCTCTGGATTTGGTGAAGAAGGTGAAGTATAAATCTCACCAGTACTGTTTAAGCCAATACTTTCTTGCAGCAGTTGACCAACATCAGGTGCTATGTCTGTTGGTGTCTTTCCCTTCATCGGCTCATTGCCTAACCAAAATTCAGTGACTTGCATCTGATTTAAAGTCAGGGTGCCGGTTTTATCAGTGCAGATGGTAGTAGCCGATCCCATAGTCTCACAGGCTGATAATTTTCTCACCATGGCATGGTCCATCACCATTTGTTTCATTGAGTATGCCAGGGTTAGTGTTACAGCCAAAGGCAAACCCTCTGGAATAGCCACTACAAGGATAGTAACTGCTGCAGCAATGATCCGGATGATGGAATTCATGATATCGCCAGTACTCGTCTGTCTGGCTTTGAACTCCCTTTGCCCTCTTTCATCTTTGGTTTGTCCGGTGAAGTAACGTATCAACAACACGACTAAAACAAGGAAAGCGACCAACAAACCGACCTTCCCAATACCGGAGGTCAGCTTGTTAAGCCGCCTTTGTAATGGTGTCTGTTCATTTGTGTCATGAGTTATTAAACTCATCATCTGACCCCATGTTGTGTTCATTCCTACAGATGTAACGAGCATGCGACCATAGCCATCTGTGACCTTTGTACCCGATAGCAGGAATGGATTGCCTGCCTCATGGATTTCAACATGGTCACTTTCACCTGTCATGCTAGACTCATCTACCTTTAAAGAGTAACCATCCAGGAATAACCCATCTGCTGGAATTTGATCGCCGATTTTTAGACATACAATATCGCCTACAACGATTTTGAATATGGACATTTGCTGTCTCCGCCCATCTCTGACTACGACAATTCTTATATTATTGCTCTCATTGGAAAGCTTCTCAAATTGCTTACTTTGTTTGAAGTTGCTGATGGCAGAGACTCCAAGAACTAGTATTACAGCCACAATTATGCTTGCTCCATCATACCATCCTTCCTTCAGGCCATTCTGTTTGATTCCAAAACAGAGTGACAAAACCGCACAAACCAGAAGAATGATGATCATGGAATCTTTGGATGCTTCGAGAAGAAACCTCAGTAAACTTTTAGCAGGGGGCTTTCTGTATGTGTTGGATCCAAATGCATCGATTCTTTGCTTTATGCTACCCTCTGCACTGCTGATACCAGCTTCTGGATCTGTTTGAAGAATGGCTGCTAATTCTTTTGCACCTCCATAAGTGTGCAGCCTATCGCTATTTTTTTCTCTTACCAAGTCAGCAAGTGCCTTCCTATCAATTTCCATAAAAGATCTTTCGAGGCGATCATTTTTGGAGGGTTGTACATCAATGGCAACGTAGGAGGGATTGTGATGCAAAACTGAAGGAAACAGCAAGGCATTGGTATTAACTGCTTTCTTAGACAAGGAAACTGCAAAGTATATAGCTCGAAAAACTATCTGCAAACGCTTCTGAGTGCGATTATACTTTGGTGGAAGTGGATACATGGAAGAAGAAAATGAAGAAGAAAAAGAAGAAACAGTGACTGTGGAAGAGATTCTATAAGATACTGCTGCAAACACTGAAAGAAAAAACACGAATCTTAACGAGTGCTTGAGATTTTTCTTGTTTAAATTTCTGTTTCCTTTTTTTGGTGGTGTTGTAGATGAGCTTAACATTGTTTATATAAGAGTCTGTTTGTGAAATTTCTTTGCAACTACAGATCATATATAATTACAGTCATGAAATGTGGGTAGCCACAGCATAAATTTAAGTTTGAATTATGTAAATGTTATGTATTTCGTGATTCTTGTGAAATGATCTCGTATATATGCTTCATGCATAGCTAGCTGGAATCAATTCTCTTTCTTATCTTCAGTCCCATCATATGCTCTTTTCTTATTAACAGCATGGAATCAATCCAATTCAGATGCTTCTGTGCTTTTTTGCTTTCCGTTTTTGTTTGTGAATTCAATTTCCCTACTGTTTTTGTATTCCCGGAAAACCTTGGACCACCACCAGAAAGGCACTTGAGTAACTCTATGAGATACTTACATAGTTCTATGGATTAAGGATTTGGAGTTATCATGGGACAGGTGATCGAAGAGTTCATAGAGCATGGAAATCTGGGATCTGCAACCACAGTTTCATTGATGACAGTCGCAGATTGATAAAATATGATGAGAGTTCTTTTAACAAAGCAGAGTAAATACACTAAATATCTAAAAACTTCCATAGATTTACTGTAAAATTGCAGTTTTGGTCTATCAAAAATATATTTGCTCATCTAAGTATTAAAGTTTTGCTCCAAGAATGAGAACAAATATTGTATATATTTTTACTGCGAGCAAAAACTATGCAAGGATCTGAATTTCAAGTCAACAAATTTTAAGTGTGGTCCGCTATCCAACACATTAGGCTCTAAAGATCGTAATTGACCTAAAACTTCCCTCAGTTATTTTTTTTTCCCAGTTCTAAGGAGATTATAAGTCTTACAAGTGTGAATGCAAGGGGGGTGGGGCCTTGAGATTCGAATCAAGACTTATGATTATTGAAAGAATTGCAGTTGTGGTCCAAATGTTCAAGGAATAAGCACTGCTGGTACTTAAGGTTTCAACAAAAGTAAATGTAGTCTATTGGAATCAAGTCACCTGCTGGTAGCTAAATTTTTTTTTTTGAAAAATTCTAAAAAATTGCAAAAATTTTGCTAGCCATATTTTGTAATAAAAAATGACTAACTACCCTTCAATTGATCGCGTGAATAATTAGTCTCTAACCCTTTTTTTTTGTCAATTGAATTTTTGTATTCTCAGTTAAAGACTAATTACTCATATGATCAGCATGCAAGTAATTAGTCCTCTTTTACTACAAATTATAGCTACAAATTTTTTTTTTTTCATGTTGTTTAAGTCCTTTAAAAAAATTAGTTGTTGGCACGTGACCAAATTCCAATAGCAATTGGCAAACATCAGTTAATAGGACTGAATGTGTTTAAAAATTGAAACATTTGTATCTATACTTGCTTTTATCTTAACTTTAGGGACTAAAAGCGCTCATACCCCAAACATTTAAGACCAAAATTGCAATTTTCTCCATGATTATTTAACTAATTAATTTACCGACTAAGTTAGTTTTTGAGGATAAATTTTCTCATTTTTTTGGTTATATGCGGAGTCCAAGAAAAGGAATAAATGAAAAAAACCGGCAAAAAACATAGATTAGACGCATTAAAATGCTGAAACACGTTTGATGTCTTTCTTTTCTTTTCTTTTTTTTTTTTTTAAAGTTTTTGGTCTCTCAAATAAATCAAATGGGTATCCTCGTATACCATTTGCTTTTCATTTTTGCCTTTTCCTCCTTTTGCTTTTTTCATTACGGTCTCCCAGCTTGATGGGCATGTATCAACTTTTTATATTTAAGTAAAGAATAAATCTTATATGCACTGATAATATAATATTATAACCGTTGGATCATGACATATTTGTAAAAATTAAATTTTAAATTCAACTTTTGTGTAATTGTTATTCATTCAATGTTGACAGTAATATATACAATGTTAGTGTATGCAAGATTGATCCTTAGTAAATGGAAAAATATAGGAAAGTGTCATAATCCATTGTCTTGGTCAATTAAGATATTTAAATTTAAGACTAAAAGTCAATCTCCCAAAGTCTTGGTCATCTTTCTTTTTTTCTTTTTTTTTTTCCAAATAATTCGGTACTTGTTTGGAGCCCAAAAAAAAAAAAAGAAGTACAATGCATGCTCCACTTTTTCGTGATTCCTCTGTGGAAAACTATGGAATAAATTAAGCTGAGCTTTTATAGTATATATATTTGCATTAAACTGTGGAGTTGAAGAACTGAAACAAATTAAAATGAGGAATTGATAGGAAATATAACATCAGAAACAACTTCTAACAACTTTTAACAGTTTTAACATATCCTTAGATGGATAAAATGTAGCTTCATTCTTCAGATTTTTCTTTTTGATTTTTTAAAGGTTCTTAACTTCTTGTGGAGCTCATCAGTTTTCGTCATCTTGATGACATCAGGTTCAAATTAAGCCAGCCGACTGAGAAAATAATATACACCATAGTCAAGCTTTACTAACTGGCATGGTGGACCTTGAAGACTACAAAGTCCCTGAACTTGCTAAACAAATTTTCCACATTTTTTTATGTTAAAATTTTTGTTAAAAAAAAGAGACTTAACAAGTCAATTATGGTTTAATAGTTCCACTGTCTTGAGAAGTTTCCCATTCTTTTCTCTCTTTCTTTTGTTTGGGGGAAGGGATCAATTGGTTCTGGGGAAATTTCATGTGCCAATAAATATTTGCCAATTGACAAATGTAGACCATGTCGTAAATTGTTTACCTCAAATTGGGAGAGCCATAACCATATATCAAGTGCCAGAAGTGGTAATTTTGGGGGTCTACATTAACTTAAAACAAATTTGATTGATGGAATAGTGAAGCTCTTTCTTTTAATTTTTTCCTTTCCTATGTAATTATGAAGCTTCGTCAGATGAAAAAGTGTAGTTTCTGAGCTTTTTGATACATTTTTCCACGTTTGATGTTTACACATTTTAGGTGGAGAATTATGAAAAATCCTTGGTAAATCATCTGAGTGCTCTCATCTTGACAATTTTTTTTCGTTTTTTGAAACGCATTTCTCACGACATACTTATTCCAATTCGATATTAAAAGGGACATTGAAGTCTGAACCAACAAATGTTCTCGTTTAATTCATACAAAGAAAGAGAAAAAAAAATCAACAATGTGGAAGTCAAGGATGAAAAGATCAAGAAACAGTTCCATTAGATTATTAAAAGGTTCAAACGTAATTGCAACTCATATGGTACATAGATATCCATTCAACAACTCCTTGACATCAGACGTATGATGTAATGGTCATGACGCAAGAGAATGAATAATGTAGACAAACTAATCTCCACGCAAAAGCAAGTAGAATTCTATCCTTTCTGCTGCCAACTGTTAAAAAACAAGGAAATTGAAGAAGCAAAATTGTTGTATGGTATGAAAATTTGATTCATTCATCCTATTCAATATAGTGTGCTCTACTAATAACTTTATTGGGGCGTGTGTTTGCAATAAATAAAATGTATAGTTGTTTGTAAATTTTTTTTTTTACTAAAGTTGGTTTTATGCTTTGAGAATTAATTTGTTAAAGAAGTTATGAAAATAAAAATGTATATATGGATAGTTTTTTTTTTTTCCAACCCCATTAGCAGCTCTATCTGTGTCAATAAATTTAAGGATAGAAGTGAAATTTTAATGTGAAATTCTTGGCCATATATGATAATTATAAACATTTTGGGATGGACCAAAATAAAAAATATAATACTTTCAATCGAACAAGAAAGTACAAATGAGTGTTATGCTTTCGTGATTAAACAATATGTATGCGATGTGTGTAAAGTTATTGTAAATCCATGAACTCTAAACGATTATGTAATAGATGATAGGTGTTATTACAATGAGTACTCCTATTTCAAGTATGATCTATTGTAGCCATTTGCCCCTATTTTGGCCCATGTTTATCAATGGTTAACTGTAACAATTTGTCTAGCCTTTGTCCCATGTTCATGTATGTCAAGCGGGATTCACAAAACGCCTTGATTGCCCACCTAAACCTCCTAGACAGGATTATTCTCTAGATTAAGGACTTGGAACCATACTATTATATGTACCTTGACAAGAAATGAAATAATATGATCCACAAGTTATATGATTTATGAAGAATGTATATAAATATGTTCACGTTATGTTATATGGTTTAATGCCATGCACTTCTCACTGTAATATGTATGTGTACGTGTGAAACCCAATGTTTTGAAAACCGGACCGGAGCGGGCAGTTGAACCACGAACCGGCCATGGCACCGGTCCGGTTCTATGTCATAGTTGACTTTGTCAGAAAATCGGTCAAAACTCGGTTGAACCATGAAAACCGCCGAATCGGATTGAACCGGCGGTTTTCCGGTTTTTAACTCCCCCCCCCCCCCCTTTTTTTTTTTTTTAAGTTTTGCAAAATATAGATATCAAGATTCGAACTCAAGATCTTTGTAATAGAAGATCAATATATTAACCATTGTACCATCACATCTTATTAGTTTTTTTTGATAACTTATTTATATAAAACAAACACTCATATTTCTTTTTTCCATTTTTCTTACAAAATCTCATTCTCTCATGGCTCTTTCTTTTTAATCTTCAACTCTCTCTCTCTCTCTCTATCCTCTTTTATTTTATCACTTCCTTTTTAATCAAACCTCTTTATTTTTAATTTATTGATGTTTTCTTCCATCTTTTAATTTTGTTTTTGTCCATTAAATTGAAAAAAGTTAAAAAAGAATTATTTTTCTTTAATCCAAATTATTTAATGCCACAACCACTCACTTTTATCTCATTTTTTGTTTCTTATCAAGTTTACATTTCTATTTTCGATTCTCTTGACTTCCTTTGAATTCCAAACTTCTTTTTTTAAATTGCAATCTCTAAATCCCAAAGCGTAAATTAAAATTTAAGTTCGCAATGTCTAAATTCTCATAGACGTGAATTTTGTATAATTTCAAAATATTGGGATATTTTTGGGTTGGATTTAGATATAATTGAAATTGAGATGAAATTTATTTGTTTTAACTTATAATTAAAAAATTTAT